ATTTCCTTGTGGTTTCAAAGCTACTTTTCTGCACTGCTGTTAAAATGGGCAGCTATAATAACTATAATATTATAATAGCTATAATAATGTATCTAAGACAAAATGTCGTTTGCTGTTTATGAAGTAATACTGATAATTAATTTTTATGCATAAAGGGCGTATTTCTTGCAGCGATTTGGTTTCAGTTTAGTAGCCTTGATTCTTGGCTACTGCCCTAGCTCGAATTTCTTATGAAAGTAAACTTTTTCTTAGCACCGTCATGTGAATTTTATCCCGCTCCTCTTGGGTCCTTTTCCAAAGTCCGTTTAATGTTCTTGGATGTCAATTGCGTAAGGCTCCTTTTAAAAAACCGAAAGTCCTGTTTCTTGATTCTTTTGCTAAATAAGTGGCAGTTGGCTTAGACGTGTAACTAGAGGTTATGTCCATATGAATCTCAACTTGATGTTCTTTTCATATAAGGATGGAACTTCTTTTTGAAAGCTTGGTTCGAAAATATTCCGGTGATAGCAGAATGAATTAATTTTTGTTTTACTACTTGAGACTTTTTTTAGTTTTAATATACCGTCGTAACAAAAATCTTGCAGTTATTTTGAATCCAGTTGAGAAAACTTTTCTGTACATTGACGATGCCGTTTTTTGCGTCACTTGTTCCGTAGAAAGTTGACCTTTTTTATAATAGTCACTTAAATATACCCATGCCTCATCAAGTGTTTCCTTAAATTTCTATCTATTTATATTTTCTATTTATATTTTCTGTTTATATATTCTATTCTTTTATGTAATTTTCTACTATTTGGTTTTCTTTTCTCAATATGATTTGTAAAATCCCTCTCTTTAAAATGCGATAACCTTGTGAGGTATATTTTAATTTTATAACAATTATTTTAATTTAATTGTCCTTTCCTATCGACTCTTGCATTCAACTTACAAGTCCCTACCAGAATGAGTTTTTAGAATCGCGTTAAATGCAAATGAGTAAGAAGTAATGTTAAGTAGTTCAACTTACTTTGAGAGAGAGAGCTAGAAATCCTGACTAGCGCGTGTTTGCTTTATGGCTCTCTCTATAAGCTGTTACTCTCGTATATTACGTGCCCTTTGAATATTCGCCGGCTAGTTTAAATTAAGCGCCAACTATGTTAAATTTGAGTTAACTTCTGCTAAGTCTCTTGTAGTTAGTTCTAGCTTAGTTCTCATTTCTTATTTTGATTTCAAGCCGGAGTTGAGGCTTTGCTGTAAGCCCGAATAAGGGGCCAGCTGTTCATCTTGCGTGAAATAAAGGGTAGTTAACCCTTCTTGAGTGTACGATTTCTGTTATTTGAACTCAGCGATAAGTCGCTCAACAGTTCACTAGGTTCCTCGACATTCACCTTGGTAGAATAAGAGGGGAGAACTGTACAACCTTGATTTTTATGCTGCTTTACAATTTGCTGATATGAAAATTTTCCCTCCGAAGTCTATTTACTTAATTTTCGAACCATCTATCAAGTTTAGGAGCCATTTCATAATTAAATCACTTATTCTGCATTCCAATCAAAACACAACAGTAACAAACAGTTATATTGAAAATGTCAAAATTTTATCTCAAAATGTTAACGAAAAAATTTAAATAAAAAATTCTTTCCATAAAGTGCAAGACCGCCTTCCTGCATGTTAAAAATCTTTGAAAAAGCATTTTTGTATGTTTTTTCTGGGAGAAATCACAACTGTCCTACTTTTAGGAGATACTGAAATTAATTTAATTAAGACATAGCCATTCTAAGCCAATTTTAAAAAATAGCTTTTTAGATTCTGAATTTTTGACTCGAAATCTTGTGATACATATTATGATTTCAATGAATATGGCACCTGTTATTACTCTTTAGAATATGTATTAAATAATATTTACAAAACATAAATAGATTGCAGTTTAATAAAAAATCTGGAAATGTACAATTAATTTATAGTTAATGAAGATGCACAGGTTTACAGTTAATCAGTATTCTACACGTTCCGTAGTTAGAAAAAATAATCATTTGACATTATTTTAACTGTTTATATGCGCAAATTCTAACCAATATTTTTATTCCGAAAAACGTGCTTCTGTTTCCAATCAGGAAATTTCCTAGTCTTCGCAGGAAACGTAAAAACTTTTTTGGTAAAAAGCCAAATGTAAGCTGCAAAGCTTGCAGTCGCTAGTGCAGCAAGAAAAGCCGAGACGGGAGCTAAATGAGTTCTGTAATTATTTATTAAGCATTTGCCTTGCTTATAAATAATTTTCAGCAGGATTATCATGCTTCTTAAAGCTAGATTCTCATGAACAAGTTAATTAAAAATAAATCACTAAGTAAATGAACAATCAAGTAAATAGCAATAAACCCAGAAATAAAAGAGGAACCTTGTTTATCTGTCAATAGACAAATCGATATACATTTACGTACGTAAATAAACAATTCTATAAAAAGATAGATAAGCAGATTAAGATAAAAAGCTGAGACTTACATCAGTTCGTTTAATTTTCTGGTCCCAACTGTTATTGTTCATGTGCTGCCAATGTGTCCATGTTTTCCCTGTGTTTTGAAGTCATTGAGATTGCACTCAGTCAATCGACATCAAAACCAGTCAAGGATTGTTAAGAGGAAACGTCTCACGGTTAGGGGTTTTTTCCAAAATTAACTAGACCAGGCGTTAGCAAACTTTTGACTAATGGTACCATCTAAAAAAAAAACTGAAACTCTAGTACCACCACTACAAAGTACTACTACCACTACCAGAAAGTTCAGATCGCATAAATTTACGAGTGTTAGAGAAAAAACTCAATCAGGATGTTGGGGTTTTAATTTTTTAATTTAATAGTTAAAATTACTTTGCTTCTTTGCTTACCACCTATTATTCTCTTGCGTACCACCAGTTGAGAAGCCCTGAACTAAACGTTAGTAAAAGTTGAAGTTGGAAGTTAATTTAGCAAGAACGATAGGATCTTCAGTTTGAACCCCAATAATGGATCTCACCTCCTCACAGATTCGAAGGGGGTCGTAGCAGGGCCAGATTTAGATTGATAAGCCCTAAGCTATTTGAGATAAGGGGCCCTTTATAATTCCACATATATCAGAGTGCCAAATATGATTTTCGGATTAGAGCGTTTTTTTTTGGGGGGGGGAGGAGAAAGCGGGGACCATAAGTTACAGCTTCTGTAGCTTATACGTAAATCCTGCATTGGTAAATCCTCCTTGTTTATCTGTCAATAGACAAATCGATATACATTTACGTACGTAAATAAACAATTCTATAAAAAGATAGATAAGCAGATTAAGATAAAAAGCTGAGACTTACATCAGTTCGTTTAATTTTTCTGTAGTCCCAACATGTTATTGTTTCCATGTGCTGCCAATGTGTTCCATGTTTTCCCGTGTGTTTTGAAGTCATTGAGATTGCACTCAGTCAAATCGACATTCAACAACTCAGTCAAGGATTGTTAAGAGGAAGACGTCTCACTGTTAGGGGGATTTTCCCAACTAATTAACTAGACCAGCGGTTAGCAACCTTTTGACTAATGAGTACCATCTAAACAAAAACTGAAAATCTCTAGTACCACCACTACAAAGTACTACTACCACTACCAGAAAGTTCAGATCGCATAAATTTACGAGTGTTAGAGAAAAAACTCAATCAGGATGTTGGGGTTTTAATTTTTTAATTTAATAGTTAAAATTACTTTGCTTCTTTGCTTACCACCTATTATTCTCTTGCGTACCACCAGTTGAGAAGCCCTGAACTAAACGTTAGTAAAAGTTGAAGTTGGAAGTTAATTTAGCAAGAACGATAGGATCTTCAGTTTGAACCCCAATAATGGATCTCACCTCCTCACAGATTCGAAGGGGTGTCGTAGGCAGGGCCAGATTTAGACTTTGATAAGGCCCTAAGCTATTTGAGATAAGGGGCCCTTTATAATTCCACATATATCAGAGTGCCAAATATGATTTTCGGATTAGAGCGTTTTTTTTTGGGGGGGAGGAGAAAGCGGGGACCATAAGTTACAGCTTCTGTAGCTTATACGTAAATCCTGCATTGGTCGCAGGATCCTCCATCGTCATTTCATTTGCCAGAAATATAGCCTATCTCAAACAGGAGAGGAAGAATGAAGCCCTTAAATACATTTTTACAGTTAAATCGGAAAGGAATGGGAAAGGAGAAATGACGGTAAAGATACGTAAGATAAAATAACTGTTTAATTTAAATAAATACCTTACAAGTTTATAAAATTGCATTAAAGTTCAAATATTGAATTTTAAAACATAGAAATCAATTTTCTTTAACTCATTTCTTTTCTTATACCAGGTTTAGGTTAAAATTTTTTGAAAAAAAATAAATGAATAACTATAAAAAGAAAGACTACTGCAGCAAGTTAATTTTACACAAATAACTGAGATAGGTACATGATACATGGTATTATTTACATTACTAATGGTGTAAACGCTCATAATAATACTAAATGCCCACATTTTTTTTTTTTTTTTTTTTTTTTTTTTTTCCAAATGGTGCAAAATTTATCATAAACATAAATTTGGAAGAAAACTTAAAGTGAAATGGCAACAGCTTAGAGAACTGCCAGTTTACCAGGCCCTATTGGTGATACGGAGTGGACGGCAATTTGGTAGTCTAAAGTGGTGTTACAGGAGAAATGGGACTAGACTATAAATACATAAACACGTCAAAAATATTTTTAATATCTTCAACTATTTCATAATTCTTGGGAAGAAAATTTCATTATTTTTAATCAAAATTACTACATCCGTAAAATTGTACAGCATAAATTACTGCAGTTTTTTAGCTGTAGTTTGAGACTCGTCACTCCTTTAAATCTGCAAATTAGAAAAGAATTTTGAAAAAGGAAATGTTTTATTAAGCATTTTATACGTAACTTTATCTCCTTTTTCCGTTCTGAATAGAAGACGGGAGGGAGGGTGGTAAAACGCAGTTGATTACAGCGCTTTAAAAACGAGTGTTTTTCGTTTTCGTTGCAGCTACATCTGACAACCGCCGAGGTAACGTTTCCGAAACACAGCAGAGCAGATGGTTTTCTTTCGTAACGGACAACCCGGAGTTTTGCGGCACTGTAGGGAACATGTCCCTGCTGCTCAACCACAATACAGAGCTCCTCTTTTGTGAACGTATTCAATCCGATCGCTACAATCTCTCAATGCCTGATTTTTTTTTTCGCTTCTACAGCTGGTGACACTCCAAGTGACTAATTGAATCGAGAAGTAAGTTCATTTTTTATGCTTTTGATTTGTTGGTATGTATGAATGTATATGGGTGGAGGGTGTATTTTGTTATGCAGCTTTTGAAAATGGAAATATATCGATTTTAAATCAGAGCATTTCAAATTTTAAAGCATATGGATATGACAGTAAGCTCTTCTTCGGGTGAGTATCACGTTTTGGATAGATTAGAGTTATACTCCTCTGCTATCGATAAAAACGTAATCGATATTTATTTCACGTTGTGGTTTTGCATATTTCACAGACGTTACTACGCGTCAGCAACATAATGCCGAAGTATAACACATCCCAACGAAATACTCAATAATTCTTCTAACCCCTTTCTGCAACCACGACCGAGCGGGTAAGACCGCTGAACTGATAGTTCGATTCGGATTAAACCCCTTCAAAGAGCTTAGGGTGGTTTTTTCCATGCGCACCATGACTACGAATCAATTTCTTTTAGAAAGTCATTCCAGGTGTGCTTTGTGTGTGCCATAGTGTGCATTGCTATAATTTAAAAAATCCAGTCCAAAGTTCCTACCCGTATTTTACTCTTAAATCCAAGAACTTCTGATCATTCAAATATAATTATTGAATAAAAAAAGTCCGTGATCAAAAGTTTAATTTTACAGAAAGGCATAAAAACCAAATGGTAGCTGAAATTTTTGAAAATATTTTTTAAAAATAATTTTATAAAAAAATTATTCACGCATGTTAGGTAAATACTAAATGCATACGATGCAGTTTTGATCATACATTTTGTATGTGTGCTTTTTGGCATTAAATTATTTATAATCATCTTTTATTTTTTTTATTTTGTTTGCTGTCGCTTTATTACATAATTTTCCGATTAAAATGTATAAAAATTGTTTTTAAATTTCTTACTGTGTATTTTTTTTTTTTTTTTCTTATGCTATTTAAATATTCAAAAATTACCATTGTGAAAATCTCCGTTTTCTAACTCGAACTGTTACTGTTAAATACATTAATAATAACTATATTAAGATTAATAATAACTTAGTATAATTAGAGCAGGAATATAGCAATGATATTAATGTAATATACAATATATAGTAATTAAATTTATATATAAATATTATAGTTGATAGCAATACTATATTAAATAAAATTATTTATAAATATATTACTATTAATTATAGCTTACAATTTTTTCAAACAGGAATGACTAAAATACGGGTTTAATAAGCATCCCCACCCAGTCGTTATAATGAGAAAAGTCTGTGCTTGCGTAATAATCACCATGAGATTATGTTGTAGTTTATTCACAATTTTTTATTTTTACAAGAGCTATAGATTTAACATTTCTTCTAGTAGAAAATATTTTATTTTATCCTATATATAGATAATAAATAGGAAATTTCAGCCTCGTGGAATTCACAACGTTTCACTGTATTTATTTAGCAGCTTAGCAACTGCCCTTTGACTTCCAAAATTCTTTCCTCGGTCCTTTCAAGTCCTTGATACAGCATAAAAATCAAGAATCTGCAGTATCATTGTTTTCAGAAAAATACATATAAAGATTTAATAATTTGAAAAGGCCGCTCTGTTGGTAAAATGATCAACAATAGGTACTTCAATGCCAAAACTCTGGACTTCGAATCGAAGGGGTAAGTCATGGGTTTTTGAAATTGTCTTCAATTTGTTGTCTTTGAAAAATGAAGGCGCTTAAAATCTAGTATTTCGAACGTCTTGTCGAGAGGCTGATGGTAGAAAAAAGGGCTATCAAACCCTGAGATTCCATTTCTTGTTAAAGTTTTATTGTATATCTACATACAATGTAAAATGTTAGCTACACGGATTATTTTTATGGTTTTTCCAATGTGTAACATGAATGCGAGCCAATTTATCTCAGAAAGTTCTATAAGAAACTTTGAATTTTCGTATATTGGGACAATACAGGATCCGCCAGAAGTAAATCTCTTTTTCATGAGCTGATAATTTGCATTTTATTACAAAATCATAATTTTAGATTTCTTACAAAAACTATGAGCACGTTATAATGAAACATGTCATACTAAATTTTAGGTGAAATGGTTCAGATATTGCCCTTTTTCCGGGACTATATTATCTATATAGCTGTTACTTCTGCTCGACCCTCAATATTGCTCTGAGCTTATTGCCGTGTTTCCTTGCGTAATAGTCGCCCTCGCGTAACCCCCGTTTCGCACCCCCGTTCTGAAGTAGAAATATTGTGTATTAACGATTTTGTGTATCGTACAATATTGTGTAGTAGATTTTCCCGCATAATAGTGGCACCTAGACTTTCACAATGAAAAATTGGCAAAAAACATGCGACTATTACGCGAATAAACACGGTATATATACTGTTCTTAATTCATTAGAATCATACTTTATTTGCTTATTTCTATTTAAATGTCTTCTTAAATACTAAAAGTCAATACTTTTAGCTTTATAGTTATGCTGTTTTATTGAAAATGCAACAATAATTCTTCTGAGTGAATATTAAAGCTTTCCATTCTAAAATAAAAACTGGGGAAGATTTGGTGATTAATTGTGTAATTAGCCATTACTTATTAATTATATTGAAAGCTCCGCTGAATGACTTCGATTATCTAACTACAGGCTCTAATGACAAACAATGGCGGAGATACCCCTCCCGCTCTTAATTATTCAAGAGGCCGGTGTGTATGACTGATACTGAGACTCAGTAAAATTATTACAACAAGAATAATGTAACACCAATTCTTTTATATGAATCTTACAGAATATGAAACTGTCTAACTGGTCATGGTATAAAGCAGTGGTCCCCAATCTTTTTGTCCTAAAGAGCACATTCTAGATAGAATATCTGTTGGGCGGCGGGTACCATTTACGTTTTTCAAGGTGAATTTATAGGTAGATAGAGTTAATAATACCAGCACATAAAAAAAAGAGATCAATCGCCTTTCGTTTTGTGCTTGTATCTGTGTTGGACGCAATTTCTATGTCATTAAAAATGAGAAAACTTTCACTTATAATTTTATTGAAAATTAAAACACTTTTATTGAGATTACACAGTGGCGGACACGCGTTAACACGTTAAATGGGCGTCATGGTGCCCGCGAGCAAGGGTTTGGAACCCTTGGTATCAGCGCGAAATAACCCGAAGAAAATTTTTGATGCAGGGTAACCTATGCGGTTTTTTAGTCCAAATGGGCTTTGTCTTTGAAGGACTATTGTTTTCGTTTTGCGATTTTGCGTTGGTTCACTATAAATTTCTGTTTCACTTTTCATACTGTTGCCACCAAATGTTAGAGTCCTGCACAATATTTGAAGAAAATAAATAATGAAAAATCTGCATAAATGTATGTGTGTTTCTCGCATTGTGATAAAACAACGGTACATAGAGCCATCGAATTTTGAATGACGTAATCCTCCTACGAATATGGGCATAATGAAGACCACATTTGAAATTTGGAAGTGTTTATTATCTATTTCATATTTTGTAAAACTTTAACGAATTTTTGAGTAACAAACTCAAGGATTTCAAAGCGAGCAATGGCAACACTACTGGGGGGAGAGAAAGAAGAAGAAAAAAAAAAAAAAAACCTTTTTATGTCCAGCGCGTGAGTTTCTGAATCGGAAATTTCTAAAGGATATGCTCATTTTAAAACTATTTTGCGATACTGCTGTTGAACTGAATTTTATGGTTTAAGTGCGAAGAACGTGATATTGAATAAACAAATGTAAAAAAAAAAAAAAAAAAAAAAAAAAAAAGCTCCTTTGAACGTAATTTAAAATCTGAAACCTTTCAGATTTTTTTTTTTTTTTTTTAATTAAGATGTCCTGAGAAATGTTGTTAAAATTCTGTGAAAAGAAAATAAGCACTTAAAATCCCATTCGGCAATAAAATAATTAAGTACAATCAAAGCTATATTGTTTATAATTCTATTAGTTGATAACCTCGATTCAACCATTACAATACGGTACTTCTGAAAGAATTCCGATATCCTAAATGACCACCTAAGAATGAATATCAGAGGAAATCAAAGCAATTCTAAAAAGTCAGAGTAAAAGACAGTCGTTCAAGCTATTCTAGTCACATAATTTAGTCTTTTAAAGACATCAATAGGGATGAGACTATTCGATTTGAAAAAAATCGAAAGTTCGAAAGAATAGACAGAGAATTGTATTCTAATTCGATTCGCAAAAGAATAGAAACATTCTGAGATATGCATATCTGATTAAATACAAGAGACAGATTGAAGGCAAAGATTATATGATAATTTTTAGTGATCGCCGTTCTTTCAGAGGAATTCAAAAGGTTACTAAGTTAAGAGGCCAAAAGAAGATCTATATTCTGACGTTTTGCATGACCGGAATTAAAAATCCAGCAGTTTAATGCAATAGTAATTTACGACAGTTTTCAAGTGGTTGCGTACAGGGAACAACAATAGGCAAAATGGCATTAAACACTGAGAAATATTTATTCATGTATTGTTTCATAGAATGATTGTAATTTTCAGTTTTATGGGAATTCACGGATATTAAAATCATTTTGCAAACATTTCAAAGGCTTTACTTTGATATCCAAAATGCCTTATTGTGGTGTTTTAGAAGTGTCGAAAATTCAGCAATCATTTTTCACAGACATCCAACTGTCTTTGTTCAACAAATTTACAAATGACAGACGTAAAATGTAATAGATGTAACATTTATTTTTCAGTTATGATTTAGATGTTTGCAAGTTTTTGGTAAATACCGTTTCTTTTCGCTTTATTTAATAATCAGGGCCCACCAGCGGCAGAGCGGTAAAGACTCTGAACACTGGTAGTTCGGTCCGAGGTTCGAATCCCGCGAACGGGCTGGCTGCATGGGCGTTTTCGTGGTTTTCCCCATGTGTAACGTGTATACGAGCCGGTTACCCTTAGAAAGTCCCCCCCCGAAGGCATTCCTCCCTTTAGGTAGATAGCCCTCGTGTGCTTTACCGTAACTGAATAACCCATAACCCATTTAATAATCAGGTGTATTGTAA